AAGATCTGCTTGTAACTGACTATTAATAGATTCAATATTGAAATCAGACAAATAAAGAACAGTATCATCACATACATTAAAATATTTGAATACTTCAATGTTTTGGAAGGTCATTTATGTAAAATAGGAAAAGTAATGGGCCCAGTATGCTACCCTGCGGAACTCCCAAGGAACAGGGCAGAGACCCGGACACAGAGCTTCCATGTTTCACAACCTGACACCTATCAGTCAAATAAGAGGAAAACATTTGTATTGCAGATGATGAAAGTTGAAAAGAAATCAACTTTTGTAAGAGAGTATAATGATCAACTGTGTCAAACGCTTTACGAAAATCAATATATACAGCGAGTGGTGAGACAAAAGGAAGATAGCTGAAGACTCAAAACACCCAACAACACCTTGTTTTTTTTAACTGCCTCCTGGTTGAAGGCTCTGCGTTGTCAGAACAAAAACCAACAAACACTAATGATTTGTCCAGCTGCTGTCTCCATTCTGAATATACAGTATTTTCCTTCTCCTGCAACCAGTAAAACATCTTGTGTACAGATCCCTGTAGATTTGGGGAAATAAATATAATTAATAGTGATAAACTCAACAACTTAGCTTTGCCCCAGATAATGTTATCAGACTTATTGGGAGGCTCAACACACACATTACTTTTGTTTTTTACATTATTAGAAGTTTATTTAGATAACACAGGTCTTTACAGRCTGATAACACAGCAGCATCCAGCAGGCAAAACGAGTTTTCAACGCGCGGCCTGTAAACCTTATACAGACTGATACAAGGTCTTCCCAAGATGGCTGCCATAAAATCTCGCCCAGAAGCTGTCATGAGCATTTCCAATGTTTCTCTAGTCCATAAGGAAATGTCCGACACACACAAACACAGCCTGGCACCGCGATGAGTCTTCCGAGCTAAGAAACCCTTCTGGTGTGAAAYTGTTGAAGGAAAACAGCCTCACTGCGAGTGGTGGAATAAACACTTTAAGACCGTTTCACAAAAACAAACAACTGATCTGACTCACCTGTTTCTGCGTGGACTGAGGCTCGTCGTGGAGCTGCTGCGGGAAATACAAAACCTCTAAGTGCGCACGCGTGTGTTTTCAGTTTCAGCTGTGTGACAGAAGCTGGGCTTTTTTCACAGCAGCATCTGTTTGACAATTCCATTTACGTCCAACACGTACGTCGAAGTTGCGTGAAAATCCGTAG